GGTGGCTGTGGTGTTGAGGGTTGCAGGGGTATTTTGGTGTGGGGGCTGGGGTGGCAGGGGTATTTTGGGCAATGCAGCCCATTAGTCAACCCACACTAAAAATGGAGAATAGTCAAACCGGGAACTTCTTTTCCAGACGGAGGGAGTAACTGTTTGAATTGAACAAACTCGGGTCAACGAATCAGTCAACTATGATTAAAACTATAATACTTTATATTATACGAAGTATTACTTAATATTTTAAATTAATAGAAATATTTTAATTCATTTTTAGCTTCTTCATCTAGTTTAATGTGTTATTTATATATTATAGTATAACATTTTAATTAGACTTATATTTAGTTGATTAAAAAGAAAAAAATAGGCGAAAAAAAGTACATTTCCTTCCCGCATTACCTCGCAACCTACTGTCCACATTGATTGGCAAACCTTCCTTGATTTGTTTCTTAGTTGTTCCCCATATGGATGAAATAGTTTTTCGTGAAACATTGTAGGCTGCTGCAATTTTGGTTACCATGCCCTGTTGAGCCACAAGTTCCCCATTTGCTCTTTGCGTTGAATGTAACATTAGCTCATCGACAATCGATTGTCTCTCTGCGTTGGTAAGACGTTTTTGGACTAAACTTGAAGTGTTTTCATTTTGTAGGTGTTCACCAAAAGCCCCTTGGGCAGCAGGATGGGAGAGGGACCAAAGTTGTGCCAAAAGGGAGGGCTGGTGCTCACCCAAATTCTGGGCAGAAAAGGCAGGAGATTGTTGGAGAGGAGATGATTCAAAAGAAGGCAAAAGGTGAAAAAAAATGATGTGAAGAATCCATGAGGGTCTGCTGGACTGGAAAGAATGAGAGTTAGAGTGGCTTTTTATTGGCTTAAGAATGAAAAAAAGAGTGGGAACATGAAAATGTAATGGGGGGAAAACTTTTTGTTTTGTAATGGAAGGAAAAGTGGAGGGAGTAAACCAAATTTTTGCATCTAATGAATGTTCCGTCCGTATTTGTATTGGGAAAATGAATGTGCCGTCCTTCTTTTTTGTATTGGGATACTGAATGTGCCCCATCCCTTAACTTTATTGTTTTTCTTTATTGCTTTTAAACTAGGGGCTTTTTTGGAAACTTTATTTATTTTTAAATAGTCCTAAATAGGCGTGTCAAGTCAACCGGAAGGAAAATTACCGGACGGAGTAAAATGAAAAGACCAAAGACATGATAAAAGCATTTAAAAAAAAGAGAGGATTCTATCAAGAAGAATATCCAACCATCTCAAACATTGGAATTCCATTTGTATTAGCCCTATTTACAGATTTAAGAATATACTTAAACTCACAGCACACTCATCATCATCACATTGGAATATATAACTTTATAAAAAACAATTAAAACTTCAAGAGAAGTGCCCAAACGCAGCATGAAGCCTCTGGAAATGCTTACTGTTATACATGGCTTGACTCTGTTGCCAAGCAGCAGTTGCAGCATTATTATTATTACTCAACAATGGAGATGGTGAGCTTTGAGTGTATGCTGTGAACTGCCCTTGGGATTTCACTTCATTATTGTTGTACAAATCTTGATGGTTATTATTGGAGAAGGCTTGACTCTGCACGGCGCCGCCCCCGAGCCAGAACGGCGCGGGGAGATACTCTGACGACGACCATCTGATCTCGTCGCAATCGCTCCCTTTCTCCGCCTTCCCGTCCGCCCCGACCCCCCACGAAAACGCGCCGTTTTCGAAGAAAGAAGAGTTCGGCAACTCCACGTGGTGGTGGGGCCCGCCGGGGTGGGGGTTGAGCTTCGCGACCAACGGGTCCGAGGCCTTGAAGAAGAGGCCGAGGCCGTTGTCGTTGTTGTTGTTGCTGCTGTTGGGGTTGTGTAGTGGAAATGGCGAGTAGTTCAGCAACGACAGGTAGCCCGAGAAATCGGACGACGGCTTGTCGAGGAAGAACTCGTGCTCGGTGGGCCCCACAGGGGACAGATATCGGCCGCCCTCGCCCATCGCTGCAACCTGCTGCACAGCAGCAGGCTGGTGGTGATGGGACGACGACAGTTTTTCTGAAACATTTCCTGGGGCCACAAACACGTGGTCATTGTAACTACTAGTGATGTGGTTATTGTTCATGCAGCTATCAGACTCTGCATAGTTCAGCTCACTTGACCCTTCTGATAATGCTAGCTTCTCGTTGTTGTTGTTGTTGTTGTTGTTGTTGCTGTTGTTGTTTAAGGATGTTTTTTCGTCACTCTCAACCTCGGACAATGGCTTGTGTGTGTTCGGGTCAATCCCCTTCTGCCTCAGCTTCTTCTTGATCGACGAGTTCCACAGGTTCTTGATCTCGTTGTCCGTCCTCCCGGGCAATCTCGCCGCGATTTGCGACCACCTGAAGCAGCGTCACGTTTAATTATTACTTTCGTATTACGAATCATTTCGAATTACATAAAAATAAGGAAAGTTACACGTTACGCATTTGTGGTCAACGTTTAACAACTTTGACCAAAAAATGTCAAACGTGAAGAAATTTTAACTTTTGGGTATTATAAAGAGTAAAAAAACGAATGAACGTAGATGTAATTTATGTCTACGTTCATTCGTTTTTTGAATGCATCAAAAAAAGTTGATGATGAGACAATTAAAGAGAACACAAAAAGAGTGTTTGTTTATTTATTTGTGGAAAAAGAAAGGGGGCAAGAAATGACAGTCTTACTTGTTGCCTAGAACTGCATGGAGTTCAATAATCAAATTCTCCTCTTCCTGGGAAAATGTGCCTCTTTTCAAGTCAGGCCTCAGGTAGTTAATCCACCTCAGCCTGCAACTCTTCCCACACCTCTGAAGACCTGTGACACATTATTATTATTTTTCAGATTTCAATTAATTTTCTTGAATTTCATTTTTCTTCCCAATTTTTAAGAAAGAAAATTGTGATAAAAGGATTTATGAGCCACAAAAAGATTTATAATAAAAAAAATAGAATCTTTTTATTTTTCTGAAGAAAATTGGGAAAAAATAAAATAAAATACCAGCTAGCTTTGGGACAGAGCTCCAGCAGCCATGGCCATAAGTGGTAATATGCTTAATGAGCTTCTCATCTTCCTCAGGAGACCAAAGCCCTTTCCTGAGCTTCTGCTTATAGCAGCAAGAATGCCTTCCCATGGGGTTCCACTTAATAATCTCCAAGGGAAAATCAAAACCAGAATTTTTCAGAGGAGAAAATTTTAAAAAATAAAATAAAAAATAAAAAGTTTTTTTTTTAATTTATAAAAGGACCCAAGGGAGATGATGATGATGATGTAAGGAGAATATATAAGAAGAAGAAGAATGTGTTGTGGAAAATGAAAGGCCAAAGTGGAAGGAAGTGAAGTGATATTGGAGGGCTTAGGAAGGGAGAGCCCTATAAAAGACTTGAGGTCATATTCAGAGGATAATTCCTATTTTATTTTTTTTCTAAAAATGAAGGGTGTAAATTATTGTATTTTTTGAAAGGGTTTGGATTCTTGGTTTAATTTTTTAAGGAAATGTGAAGATGGAGGTCTCTATTAAATAAAATCTGATTTGCTGGGTCTTATCAGGGCTCTTGAGAAATAATTAATGAGTTTGACAGCACCTGTGGGGCTTCAGGACAGATATTTATTTGGTGGAATAAAAAGCAAAAAATAAAAAACCACAATTATTAATTGCAAACAACGTTTTAAAAAAACAGCATTTTCAAAAAATAAATAAACATTGTGAATACTACAAATATGCAATTATGACAATTTTTTCTTCTTCATGAACTTATTAAATTTCATCTATTAGGATTTCACTTAAGAGGGGCTACTCCAAGGGTGGGCCAAGGTACCATACCCGTAAAGATTTACGGAGTATTTTTTTATGGGCTCAAGATTTTTAATTTTTATTATGTTTTTTTGTATATTTTTTAAAAAAAATTGAAAAACTTAATATTTTAAGTTAGTTGTTACGATATTTAATTACGGAGTATAATATTACGGAGTATAACTTTGTTATTTATATTATTATAATATTAACGGTTGTTTTTAATAAAAATAGATTATATTATTTACATCTCCGTCCCTGAGTATTTGTCCACTTTTGACTATTTTTGGTCAAAATTAGTAAACTTTGACCTCAAATTAAATAAAAAGTATATTAGATATTGATATAAAAGAAGTTTTATTATATTTATCATATCAAATATTTTCAAAATATTATTTTATTTAATTAAAATACAATATATATTTTATTTAATTATAGGTCAAAGGTTGAAAATAATTGATTGAAAAAAGTCAAAATTGGACAAATACTCAGAGACAGAGTTACTAATTTGTTAGGGTCAGGCCCATTTTTTAAAATGTTTTCATTGAATTTGTGGGCGGCCTTTTCACGTAGACGGCTGGTATATATGGTTGAATTTTTAAGCCAACTTTTGAGATTCTTAGAGTCTATTCTTTTTTGTTAAAACTTACTCTATAAAAGTTACTCCTTCCGTCCACAAATAAACTTTACGTTCATTATTCACAGTGTCAAATTTTATTCACTTTGTTGGCCTATTTTTGTCACCCATTTGATAAAATAATATAGTCATGTCACCTCTAGTTTTGTAAATCTTTTGATATAGTTTTTTAATATGTAATTTTTTTCAATTCTACATCATTTTTCATATAAAATGATTTGAAAATAACTTCAGTCAAACATCGTAACGCGTAATGTAAGGTTTATTTGTGGACGGAGGGAGTAGATTTTGAAAAAAATTAGAAAAAGTTAAAAGAACTTAGAAGGAATTAAAAGAAACTTAATGAAATATGAAAAATTATTCAAATATGTATTATATATTTGAAATTTTATATTTTTATTTCAAGTAAAATAATTCATATTTCATTACTTTTAATTATCTATTTTTTTCATCTCTTAAACTATTTTTGTTTCAAACTATAAGTATAGTAATTTTCTTTACTCATACTTCTTATTAATTTTTCTTAAGCTTTTTAAATCAATATCAATAGTATAAATTCTTTTTTTTGGTCCGGTCAATAGTATAGATTCTTAATTCTTAACTTATATGCCACTAACTCATGTACAAAAAATGGTGGAAAAGGAAATATATATTTTTATTAATCTTAATTAAACAAAATTGTGACATGAATAATATAACGATACCTCCTTCAATAGAAATACTCCTCCGTCCTAAAACATTCTTTCCAAATGCTATTCACATGATTAAACTTTAATCATTTTTTTACCTATTTTCATTAGTTATTTGATAAAATAATATAATCATGTCACATCTTGTTTCTTAAAACTTTTGATGTAGTTTTTAAATATATAATTTTTTATTTTTTAATTTTAGACCTATAATCAAATAAATTGAATTGAAAATAATTTCAGTCAATCATCGTAAACTGAACTGGGGAAAAAATTTAAGACAAAGAGTATAAAGAAAAAATGACTAAATTAGAAGTAAAACATGGGGATAAAAGTAAAATATGATCTCCATATTTTTTTATCTCTAAATTAGGAGTACAATACCAATAGTACCAATATATAGTGGGAAAAATTCACTAGAATACTCTAAAACTTTTGTGATTTTACATTAATACTCCGAAATTCAATAATTTACACCATTGCTCCCAGAAATCGCTCAATTTTATACCAATATTCTGAGCTGCCAACAAAGCAGAATACATGGCAGTGGCATTTTAAATGATGACTATACATTATTAAGTATGTTTTTGTAACTACGGAGTGATAAAAAATAAAGGAAAATAAGGAGGAAGAGGCCAAGAGAAGCTCTTATGCAGTGACGATCGGCGATCCTTCAGCGGCAGTAGTGCAATTTTGGCTGATCTTATGCGCCATTTTCTGATTGGGGCTAATTTTGGTCCCAATCGCGATACACTTTTTTGTCCAATTTTCTCCGATTAAAATCCGATTGTACAGCTGTCTACAGCTTCTAACGAGTAGGTTCCATCTATACGATGTGATTCACTAAATTAGTTTTAATATCCAAATCGAAGATCAATTCTTATAGAATGCGATGGTTCATGAAATTCGATCGATCAAGTTGTCAATTCGTGACAAAGGGTAGCGATTCTTGATCGTTAGTTTGTTCAACTTTCGGTAGTCGATGCAGAGTATCATCGATCTGTCTTTCTTTGCATACAAACAGGATAGGTGCTCCCTACGGGGAAACACTTAATCAGACGAATCCTTTGTCTAGCCATTCTTGTAACGGAGTTTTCAACTCTTTTATCTCAGCGAGGTCATTCGGTATGGGGTTGCGTATATCGGTCCCTTTCTACGAACAAGATTCATAGAGAATTCTACTTCTCTATAAGATAAAATACTAAGAAGTTCATCAAGGAACATGTTAGAGAAATTACATACTATCAGTACTTCCTTCAGTTCGGGGGTTTTCTTTTGTGTATCACATTACATACTATCAGTACTTCCTTCAGTTCGGGGGTTTTCTTTTGTGTATCACACAAATAGACTTCACACTTTTTATGGATGAGACGTTTTTGCGTGTATATATGAGATGAATTTTGTCAGTTTAGGAATCAGCTTTTCTTTCAACTCTATAAGGTTACCATCGTCAGTCCTCAGTTGAAGAATTATTCGTCAACAGTTGTCAACAACATGTCGTTCAGTCAGCCAATGCATACCAAGAATAAAGTTAAATTCCTTGTATGGTCATTCAATGAGGTTTGCAGGGAACTGTATTCCTCGATAATTAACGGAAAATTTTGATACACATGATGTAATCTCACACTGTGTCTTAATGGGTCAGACACTAGCATGGGATACTCTAAATAATAGGGTTTATTAATTCTAAATGTTTGAATTAGAATCAAGCATTGGATTGTGGTGAGTCCATAGGAGGTCCTCAACACCAGATTTACATATATTGTTTGCATGTTTGCAGAGTCTACATACACTGAATGTGGTCGTCTCGTTTCTACGCAGCATTGCGGCGCACATAGATTTTTCGTTTCATTATCCTCGCGATGTAGTGTGCACGTTGATAACAGATCACGGAGTCATACATTTTTTGCATATTCTTATGTCTATTGCCGATACGATAGTTCAACTTGAGCCGACACTCGATATAATTTCAATATAATAGTTGTCATATAATGAGAATTTAGTATAGTCAATATTTATCACATAAATTTTAATTCTTTTTCCTAGAGCAGAGGGATGCGAGAGTTGTGAATGTGATTTTTAAAGCTGATATATATATATATATATATATATATATATACACACACATATATATATACATATACATATACATATACATATACATATACATATACATATACATATACATATACATATACATATACATATACATATACATATACATATACATATACATATACATATGCATATACATACACACACACACACACATATATATATATATATAGGTTTTGGTTCTGGTGAGAAAGAGATCTAATGAAAGAAATGAGAATGGTTGATCACCATTAGATCTGCACAGATCTAAACTGAGATACGCTACTGCGCTTGGGCATTTTAGGAATTTATCATTCCAATCGCCACTCTCTCCCATTTTATATTAATGGGATCCACTAAATCAGCGCATATCACCATTTATGATTCTCTTTCCTTTTTATAATATCAAGATTTGGTATTGTTCCATAGGGATACTATGCGATCAAAAAGCACAGATCGAGGATCACATCTCTTTGTGTTCTTTCTCTGATGTTTCTTTTTCTGAGATATCGATCATGTACGAGAACATGGGATTTCATCGGCTGAATTCGGCGGCGATGGGGGCAGTTATTTTATCGGCTGAATCTGGCGGCGAGGGGGGCAGCTTGTCCGGAAGTTTGTCTCCCCCTGTAGATATGTTTTTCTTCTTTTTAGTTTTTCGAATTATTATTTTTTTATGTATTTTTGTTATTTCAACATAATTTGTTTTCAATTCGTGATGAAGAGATCTAGATAAAATTATTGATTTTCACATTCATAATTATGAAATTAAAAGTCATGATGTTTATTTCTTGTTTAAATGCATTACATACACTTTTGTTATGCATCTCAGCGAATATAAGATAAATTATTTATCAGAAAATTTGTGGAAATGCAACATACTAAGTTTGTGATGCAACATAAAAATCGTTCATTACTGCATGGTTTTCTCTTTGGTGTTTTCTACTATGATTTCCAAGTATTGCATAAACACAAAGTGTTGATTTCTAAGTGTTTCAAAAATGTTATTTCTAAGTTTCCAAGTGTGCACATCACTATGACCTTTGAGTTTTTACTTTGATTTTTTGAGTTTCTCTTTGTTTCTAGTTTATATTAGATCGGTAAAATGGTATGTACTACGTATGCGGGTTCAAAACTTGCATAACTAAATTATTTCTTAACTTTGTGTTAACACTTGATTAGATTATAATCCACAGATTGACGCTTTGTGTTATGTTAATGTTGCATTTTCAGAATCAAGACAATGCATTCTATG